CTTGGAAATACTGCTAAATCAGAATTTTTGAGAAATTTTTGTCAACCTTATTAGTGCTAGCGTCAGTTTTGTCAGTATTTTTTCTGAAATTTGTCCCAGGGCACAATTTTCCAAGAAAATTATGACATTCATGAGTAACTTTTACACCTTTTACCATGGGGAACCTTAGTTTTCTTGTAAATAATTTTAATCTACTAAATTTTATTTTTTTATAATTTTTAATGGTGAATCACCATGAAGTACAATTAGAGATTTACATACTTTCGTGCTTGTGTTTGAGTCAGATAGTGCTCGAGTACCCACCCCTCCACAATGGTGCCCATTCTCCACCACTGATGATCCTGTATCCCTCCAACCCCTGCCACCCCACCCGACCGCTGTGGCAGTGCATTCCCTTTGTTCTCTCCTTTTGGGTGTTGTGTTTTGCAGTAGAGGTATTTTGTCACCATTATGTTTGATCTATAATCTATGTTCAGCACATATCTCCCATTCCAAGAGGGACCTCCAGCCACACTTGTTCCCTTCTCTCTCTGAGCTGCCTTTTTCCCCAGCATGTGAGTCCAGCTTCCAAGCCATGGAGCAAACCTCTTGGTACTTATTTCTACTATTCTTGGGTGTCCTATTTATTTCCTGAATAGTATTTTGTATGTATCTCTGTAGAGGTCCTTTACCTCATTAGTTAGGCTAATTCCGGGTTCTTGATTTTCTGAGGCACGATTGTGAATTGGATTGCTTTTTGAATATCTCTTTCCTCTGTCTCATTTGTGTATAGGAAGGTTGTGGATTTTGGGGTATTGATTTTAATGCCTGCGACATTACTGTACAAATCTATCGTTTCTAGGAGTTTCTTGGTAGATGATTTAGGATTCTCGAGATATAGTATCATTCGGAAAAGAGTGAGAGAGCGTTTGATTTCTTCCTTTTCTATCTGGATGCGCTTAATATCTTTTTCTTGCCTAACTGCTATTGAAAGTACTTCCAGTACTGTATTGAACTGAAGTGGAGGGAATGGGCATCCTTGTCTTGTCCTTGAAGGCCCTTAGTTTTTCCCCATTGTGGATAGATGGCTTTGACTATCTTGAGAAAAGTTCCTTCTACTCCCATTTTGGTGAGAGTTTTCATCATAAACGGTGTTGGATCTTGTCAAATGCTTTCTCTGCATCTATTGATATGATCATATGGTTTTTATCTTTTTGTTGTTGATGATATGATGGATTATGTTGATTGAGTTCCCAATGTTAAACCGCCCTTGCATCCCCAGGATTAATCGTGGTGTATGATCTTTTTTGACGAGTTGTTGGACTCTATTTGCTAATATTTTGTTGAGAATCTTCGCATCGATGTTCTTCAGAGATATTGGCCCATAATTTTCTTTGTTAGTAGTATCTTTATTTTATTTTATTTATTTTTTTTCTTTTTTTTATTTGTGAAAAACCATGAGGTACAGTTATAGGCTTACAAATTTTGTGCTTGGGTTTCAGTTATACAATGATCAAGTCCCCATACCTCCACCAGTGCCCGTCATCCATCCCCATGGGTCCCAGCATCCCCCCCACCCTCATCCCCCCCCGTCCCATCCTGCCTCTGTGGCAGGGTATTCCCCCTTGTTCTCCCTCTCTTGTTTTGGGTACTGTGTTTTGCAAGAGAGGCTTTGAGTGGCAATCATGTTTGGTCTATCGACTACTTTTAGCATGCTTCTCCCACCCTGGGAGGGCCCTCACAACACCCTGTATCTTTGTTTGCTTTTCGTTTTTGGGAGATATGTGCCTTACATAAACTGTTTGGGAGAATTTCTGTTTTTTTCAGCTTTCTTTGGAAAGCTTGAGAAGAACTGGCAACAGGTCTTCTTTAAATATTTGGAAGAATTCGCTTGTGAATCCATCAAGGCTTTGGCTTTTATTTTGTGAAGACTTGATTATGGTTTCAATTTTCTTGATAAGAATGGGTCTATTCAAGTATTCCAAGTCTTCTTGCTCAGTCTTGGGAGATTGAGGGAATCCACGAATTCTTCCATTCTTCTAGGTTCTCTTGTTTCATGGCATACAGACTCTCAGAGTAGTCTCTGATGATCTTTTGAATATCATTGGTTTCTGTTGTGATGTCTCATTTTTCATTACTGATTCGGTTTCTTAGGGTTTTTTCACTCTTTCTTTTTGAGTCTTGCTAGTCGTTTGTCAATCTTGTTTATTTTGTCAAAGAACCATCCCTTGGTTTCATTGACCAAACAAATTGTTTTCTGGGTTTCCATATGGTTAATAACTTCTCTAAGTTTTATTATTTCTTTCTGTCATCCGGGTTGGGCTTTCTTTGGTTGGTCTTTTTCCTGAGTTGTGAAGTCAAGTATCTTCTTTCCTAGGAGTGCTTGCAAAGCTTTAACTTTCCTCTTAACACAGCTTTAGCTGTGTCCCATAGGTTCTGGTAACTCGTGTCTTTATTCCCATTTGTATCCAGGTGTCTTTTGATTTCTTCCTTGACGTTTTTCCTGACCTACTCATTGTTGAACTCTGAGTTGCTTAATTTCCGGTTGTTTGATTTTTTTTTCTCGGTGTCTTTGTGTGATTCACTTTTATCTTCAGTGCATCGTGGTCTGAAAAGATAATTGATACAATTTCTATCTTCCTGATTTTGTTGAGGCATGTTTTGTGATCTAGCACAAGGTCTAGGTCTATGGTCTACTTTAGAAAATGTTCCGTGCACTGCAGAAGAATGCGTATTCTTTCTTTTTTGGGGTGTAAAGCCCTGTCTAGGTCTATGAGCCCTCTCTCTTCTACTTCTTTCTTCAAAGCCAATGTTTCCTGGTTGAGTTTTGTTCTTGTTGATCTATCCAGAGGTGATCAGGCGATGTTGAAGTTTTCAACTACTATTCTGTTGCTAGCAATGTCCTCCTTAAAATCTGTAAGCAGTTCTCTTAAGTAATTAGCTGGTCCCCCATTAGGTGTGTATACATTTAAGTGTATGATTTCTTCCTGTTGCACGTATCCCTTGATAAATAGAGAATGGCCTTTGCTATCCCGACTAATCTTTTTCAACCTGAAATTTATGTTGTTGGATACTAGTTTGGCCAACCCAGCTTTTCTAAGAGCTTTTTGCTGCAGGATTGTTTTCCATCCTTTAACTTTGAGTCTGTGTTTGATGACTGTTCAGATGAGTCTCTTGTAGACAGCAGAATATTGGTTTCAATTTCTGTATTCATTTGGCCACTCTGGTTCTCTTGATTGGTGCATTATTTCCTGAGCTGCTGTTTTTTTTTTCTTCTTTGACCTTGCTGCTTGCAGTATTGAGTCTCTGTCCACATCATCCATCATTCTTACTATAATATGCCTTGAAGTGTTTTTTTATTAGGGTCTCTTTTAGGTGTCACCCACTGGCTTCTCGGATCTGTATGTCTGCATTATTTATTTCTGGGAACTTTTCAGCAATGATTTCTTTGACTTTGGTTTTTTCATTGGGGTTGCCTCCCTGTCCTTCTATTACTCCAATGATTCTAATGTTGTTCCTCTTGGCTTCATCACCTAGGTCACTGATTCTCCTTAGGGCTGTTTCGACGACTTTCCCCATCTCTGTGATTTCCGTTGCTCATCTTCAAGCTCGCTGATCCTGTCTTCAGCTGTATTCATCCTACTGCTGAGGGAATCTACCGAGTTTTTCATTTCCTCTACCGAATCCTTTATTTGTGACACTCCTTTTTGTAGTTTTTTTTAAATTTCTGCTCTCATTTCTTCCTGTATTTTCTCGACTACCCGTTCTACTGTTTCTTTCATTTGTTCCATTAGTTTTCTGCATATCTCCTCCATTGATTCTTTGAGTAGTTCCTTGAACATCCTCTGCATTTCATCTCAGTATTCTTTATCAGAGCGTGCACATTTGTGGTTAATCCCGGTTGAGCATTCGGGACTCTTTCCTTCATCCTCTCCTTGTAGTGGAAATTTGCGCTGTTTCTTCATGTTGTTTTGGTTGTCTTGCCCTGGAATTTACTAGCACTTTTTCCTGTTATCGTGGGAAAGGATTCTGAATAAGGTCGGTTGATGGTGGTTTTTGACTGTATTCCACTATTTTTTTTTATTTCTTCCTTTAGTTTTTTGGATGTCTGCTCCATTGATTCTTGCTTTCCTTGAACATCCTCGGAATTCTTTATCAGAGAGATCATATTTGTGGGTAACCCATGTTGAGAATATGGGACTCTTTTCTTCGTCCTCTCCTTGTAGTGGATATTTGCACTCTTTTCTCATGCTGTTATGGTTGTATAGAGGTAAAGCCTTCAAGTTCATTAGTACTGTTTCCTCTGTTGCAGGAAAGTATCCTAGGTAAGGTTGGTTGATGTGGTCAGAAGATATGTGCATTTTAGTGTTTAGAACAGCATTATAAATAGCTGGTCATTTGGAAACCTAGTGGCTATCTACTCTCACTCTGTGCACTTCACTGACATTTCCATCTTTATAGGGATTATTAATTTATGGATGGTAAATGGTGGTTTTCTAGATATCTGCTGATTACCTTCTGGTCCATACAGAGAAATAAAGAGAAAGAAATAGATGCACATGCTTCATGACATAAATCAATTGAATGGAGCAAATATTAGAAATACAGCATTGCTGTCCTAGAAAAAAGTGATGACCATCGCAACATACAGCTTCGGCATGTATTATCTCCCAAGTCACACGTGTAGTTTTGGGAGAAATGCTGGAGAATACGATCGCTAGATATTGGATGCAAGGATCTCCGTGACCAATCAGAGAGTTAGCAGTGGGAATGAAATAAGGTAAAATGATCCAGGTGCTTTCCTGGAGACTCTATTCCCTAGCAGGCAAAATGGATAGGGAGACAGATAATTGGTTCCTTTGAGTGCAGGCAGGAATGTGCATGGTGCTAAGCTCTTTTTAGCCTGATGGGTGATGATTGTCTGGGGGAAGTGCAAGACTCTTTTTGATCAAGTTTAAGGCTTACTACTTCAGGCCATGTCTTCCTCTCCCCACTCACCTGGGCAGCAGGAATTCGCTCTCATAGCTTTACAGATTTGGATCCTTGTCCTAGCCTTGTGGACTGCTGCTTTCACTGTCTTGTGATGCTATAGCTACTGCCATTCTCATAGCCAGAACCTCATGGTAAGTGAGGCTAGGTAAGTCTTGTTATGGGCATGCAGAAATTCCAGTTGCCTTAGGTCTGAGAAGTAGCCTGGAAATCACGCAGGACTTGAGGAATTTGGGATATGGTGGAGCCTTTCTTCTGTTTGAATGTTCTGCAAACATCCAAATACCAGGGAGCAAAAGGGATCTAGAACTTAGAGTAGCTAAAGACTATGTGGTCTTTGCACAGGCAGGAGCAGCTGAAGAGCCTGAGAGAAGGATGATAACAATTCAGCAACCTAAGGAACAGCCAGAAGCGGAGCAGAAAGAGAAACCTGCACTGGGATGCTTGATCCAGCAACCCTCACTGGAGGCACTGCAGTCTCTTCAGTTAGAACTGGAGCTTGTGAATAAGCAATCCAGCAGGACCTTCAACAGTCTCAAGCTTAAAATGAGCCAGAGACTCCTGCCCATCCTGGAACACAGAAGCACCATTATCCAGAGCATCCCGGGTTTCTGGACCAAAGTTGTATCCTTAATTTGCAGTTACAGGGACACCAGTATGGCAAGGATAGCATAAAGAAATGTGAGAGGTGCTTCTGGGAGGCCTAGAATGGTTATGGAAGTCAAGTGTATTGTGCTGACACTCATGGTCCTCTGAACATGGTATGCTGGGGGAGCCTTGACAATCGGCATAGAAATCGCAAGAAAATCCTGTTGGGGGAAGGAAAGTAGACGTCCCCTTCATAATTCCAAAGTAGAGTGTGTGGATGGATACGAGGTGTTCTTCATATGATCAGCTTCACTGGGGATTCTTGCTGCCATCACTTAATCACTTAATCACTTAACTTCCCGTTAGTCGTCGATTTGCTCGAGCGGGCGCCAGTAACGTCTCCATTTGTTCCTGTCGCGTGCTAGTGTATCCCAATGGCATCTCTTCGCTCCGGGAACATGGAGGGCCTCAAACCGATCGTTCATGATCTTGACAAAGAAGTCTGACCATCTGGTAGGTGGGCGGCCACGCGGTCTCTTGACATCCCGTGGAATCCAATCAGTAACAGCTCTAGTCCAACGGTCATCTTTAAATATCATTACGTGACCAGCCCATCTGATTTTCGACACCTTGGCATATGAGACAGCGTCCCTGATCCTTGATCGTCGACGGATGTCAGAACTCCGGATTCGTTCTCTCATTTGAGTGAAACGTGATATTCCAAGCATAGCTCTTTCTATTCTTCTTTGGGAGACCTGAATGGCGTTCTCATCTTGTTTGCGTAGGGCCCAGGTCTCTGAGGCATATGTTAATGCAGGAAGAACAGTGGAATCAAAGAGATGTGCCCGGAGCCGGAGGTTCTTCGTCCTCTTAGCTATTTCTTCGACGTTCTTGAAGGCGTTCCAAGCCGCTCTCTTCCTCCTGCGCAGCTCGGGTGCCAGGTCATTTGTCATGTTGACCTCTCAACCTAGGTACACATAGCTGTTGCATTCGGAGATGGTCGTTCCATTGAGAGCGAATGGGGCGTCAGGAACAAGGCTGTTTCTCATAAACATTGTCTTCGTAAGATTCAGCTGTAGTCCTACCTTTCCACACTCACGGTCAAAGTCGGCCAGCATTTGTGCCGCTTGGCTGATGTTTGGTGTTATTAAAACAATGTCATCAGCAAAGCGGAGGTGGTGTAGTTGCCGACCATCTATCTTCACTCCCATTCCTTACCATTCCAGTCGTCGCATGATGTTCTGGAGGGTGGCACTGAAGAGTTTCGGTGAAATGGTATCACCCTGCCGCACCCCTCTCTTGACATCAACGATCACTTCTTTGTAGAATGGTGAGATCCTGGTAGTGAATCCGCAATACAGCTCACGGAGGATCCTGATGTATTGGGCTTGAATGCCCTGATTGGCTAGGGCTTCAAGGACCGCTTCCGTCTCAACAGAATCAAAGGCCTTCTTTAAATCAATGAACGTTAAGCAGAGCGGCATCTTGAACTCCCGAGAAACCTCAATGAGCTTGGTTACCGTGTGGATATGGTCGATGGTGCTGAATCCTTTGCGGAACCCGGCTTGCTCGCATGGTTGTCCTTCATCTAGTGTTCTGCCAATACTATTCAGGATGACTCGAGTGAACAGCTTGTAGATGACAGACAATAGGCAGATCGGGCGATAGTTGCCAATGTCATGGATGTCTCCCTTCTTGAACAGTAGTACGGTCCTGCTGGTTTTCCATTGGGACGGAACCTTGCATGCAGACAGGTAGCGAGTGAAGAGCCGAGCCAGTGTATTGATGAGTACTGACGGCAGGTTCTTCAGGTATTCAGGTCTGACCTTGTCTGGGCCGGGTGCTGTTTGCTTCTTTCCCAACGAAATGGCGTGTCGGATTTTGGAAGGGAGAACGTTAGGAACAATATACCCATCCTGTGGAATTTGGTATGTCGGCAAGTGGACATGGCTATCGAAGAGATTTGAGTAGAAGTCATGGATAATCTTCTCCATTGCCGTTCTGGAGGATGTGATGGATCCATCAGGACGTCGGAGGGCAGTCATCTTGGTCTTGTAGTTGGCGAAGGACAGGCGGGCGTTACGAATACTTTTCCCGGCTTCTGCCGCATCTACCAGTACTTCTGCTCTTCTCTCTTTGAGGTCTTCCTTGATCGCATCTCTGCACTGCTTTGCGAGCTCGGACGTTAGCTTGCGGTTGCCTGAGGCATGCGCCAAACCACGCTGGCGAATTAGCTCAAGAGTTTTCGAAGATAGGCGACTTTTTGTGGCTACCTCTCTCTTGGCGTTCCTCGCACATTCATGGAGGTGCTGAACCAGTCGATCGTATTCCTCGTCAATGTTGTCAACAATGGCATCTTCCCATGTTGCCGCAATAGTACCAAAGAGTTCCCAGTTGGTGGTCATTCTGGGAGTTCTCTTTTTGGACTTTGCAGCCCTTTCTCCCCGCTCTGTGAAGTAGAATTTTGCACGAAGGAGACGGTGGTCAGATCCCGTTCGAAATTTTGGGACAACAGCGACATCAGTCAGGCAAAACCGTCGATTGAATATGATGTGGTCTATTTCGTTGTGGAATCGTCCACCGGGAGACTCCCATGTCCATCGTTTAGATTCTGCCTTCTGGAACTGTGAGTTACCATGAATGGTCTTGGTCGACATGATGAACTCAGACAGTCTCTCACCCTGTTTGTTCCATTCTAGGCCATGGGTCCCGATGTGAAGTTCTTCAGCTGATCTTCTCGGTCCTATCTTGGCATTAAAATCACCCACAATGATCTTGTAGAAGGTGTGGTCTACTTTAAAGAACTTCTCTAGCTCCATGTAGAACTTCTCGATTTCTCTTTCATCATAATGAGATGTTGGTGCGTAGACAACGAAGATAGAAACTGCAGGCAGTGAGCCACATCTATTCAAATGTAAACGTCCGATTCGGGTTGTTAGGCATTCGAATGAATCAATGCTCTTGGCCAAGTTTGTGTTGACAAGGACACCGACGCCTCCAACACCTCTTTTTTCGCATGTTCCGAGGAACAATTATTCTCCGGTGTCGAAAACGGCATGGTGAGATTCGTGCCTTCTTGTCTCGGTCAGACCAATGATGTCGTACTTGATCATTCGCGCTTGTACAATCAGGTCCTCGATGGATGCATCTGATGCTAGCGTACGTGCATTGAAAGTACAGACGATCATTTTTGAATTCCTTCGTTGTGGCAGCCTAGGTCGGCCTTGAGATTTTGTCGGCCTCTCCTTTCTCATCCTTCTCAGTGCTGCCTTGTCGTTGAAGCCTTCAGGGTCAGGTGAATGAGACCAGTTGTAGTTACTGGTTTTGGCATATCGAATACACAGCGGATAGCTTGCCAGGCTCTTCCGTGCGGGAGAAATACTCTTGGTAGATTGCCAGTCTTTCCTAGAGGTATAGAGGCTCTTGGGGTGACCTCTAATCACCCTTGTAGGTGTTGCCATATTTGAACCCTATCAAATATGGTACGACAATTCCAGAAGATGGGTATTTAGTGTCTTATGATGTGTCGCGCGGCCAGAAGCGGCCGCACGGATCCAGAAAGCGTCCTGGAGTGTGGCGACGGCTGGGTAGTGGAAGTAGTGTCGAGAGTGGAAATCTGCCAGTGGGGTATTTATCTGGGTAGGGTGGGTCTCCTGTGCACAATTCGATCCCTGGGTGGTTGATGGAAGCAGACAGGGCAGGGAAGGGTGGGGCTCCTGATTAGAATCCCTTTGTCACCTGTGGTGGTGGGAGCAAGCAAGAAGCTCTGTCCCTGGGTCCGCCGAGCCTGGAGTCCAAGGTCTCAGAGAGTTCCACTTATCTTGTTCTGTGGGTCTTCAGTTGTGCGTGGGTCTCGGCCGGAGCTGCCGCGCGGGTCCAGAAAGCGTCCTGGAGTGTGGCGACGGCTGGGTAGTGGAAGTAGTGTCGAGAGTGGAAATCTGCCAGTGGGGTATTTATCTGGGTAGGGTGAGTCTCCTGTGCACAATTCGATCCCTGGGTGGTTGATGGAAGCAGACAGGGCAGGGTAGGGTGGGGCTCCTGATTAGAATCCCTTTGTCACCTGTGGTGGTGGGAGCAAGCAAGAAGCTCTGTCCCTGGGTCCGCCGAGCCTGGAGTCCAAGGTCTCAGAGAGTTCCACTTATCTTGTTCTGTGTGTCTTCAGTTGTTCGTGGGTCTCGGCCAGGGCTGCCGCGCGGATCCGGAATGCGTCCTGGAGTGTGGCGACGGCTGGGTAGTGGAAGTAGTGTCGAGAGTGGAAATCTGCCAGTGGGGTATTTATCTGGGTAGGGTGGGTCTCCTGTGCACAATTCGATCCCTGGGTGATTGATGGAAGCAGACAGGGCAGGGTAGGGTGGGGCTCCTGATTAGAATCCCTTTGTCACCTGTGGTGGTGGGAGCAAGCAAGAAGCTCTGTCCCTGGGTCCGCCGAGCCTGGAGTCCAAGGTCTCAGAGAGTTCCACTTATCTTGTTCTGTGGGTATTCAGTTGTGCGTGGGTCTCGGCCGGAGCTGCCGCGCGGGTCCGGAAAGCGTCCTGGAGTGTGGCGACGGCTGGGTATTGGAAGTAGTGTCGAGAGTGGAAATCTGCCAGTGGGGTATTTATCGGGGTTGGGTGAGTCTCCTGTGCACAATTCGATCCCTGGGTGGTTGATGGAAGCAGACAGGGCAGGGTAGGGTGGGGCTCCTGATTAGAATCCCTTTGTCACCTGTGGTGGTGGGAGCAAGCAAGAAACTCTGTCCCTGGGTCCGCCGAGCCTGGAGTCCAAGGTCTCAGAGAGTTCCACTTATCTTGTTTTGTGGGTCTTCAGTTGTACGTGGGTCTCGGCCAGAGCTGCCGCGCGGATCCGGAAAGCGTCCTGGAGTGTGACGACGGCTGGGTAGTGGAAGTAGTGTCGAGAGTGGAAATCTGCCAGTGGGGTATTTATCTGGGTAGGGTGGGTCTCCTGTGCACAATTCGATCCCTGGGTGGTTGATGGAAGCAGACAGGGCAGGGTAGGGTGGGGCTCCTGATTAGAATCCCTTTGACACCTGTGGTGGTGGGAGCAAGCAAGAAGCTCTGTCCCTGGGTCCGCCGAGCCTGGAGTCCAAGGTCTCAGAGAGTTCCACTTATCTTGTTCTGTGGGTCTTCAGTTGTGCGTGGGTCTCGGCCGGAGCTGCCGCGCGGGTCCGGAAAGCGTCCTGGAGTGTGGCGACGGCTGGGTCGTGGAAGTAGTGTCGAGAGTGGCAATCTGCCAGTGGGGTATTTATCTGGGTAGGGTGAGTCTCCTGTGCACAATTCGATCCCTGGGTGGTTGATGGAAGCAGACAGGGCAGGGTAGGGTGGGGCTCCTGATTAGAATCCCTTTGTCACCTGTGGTGGTGTGAGCAAGTAAGAAGCTCTGTCCCTGGGTCCGCCGAGCCTGGAGTCCAAGGTCTCAGAGAGTTCCACTTATCTTGTTCTGTGGGTCTTCAGTTGTACGTGGGTCTCGGCCAGAGCTGCCGCTCGGATCCTGAAAGCGTCCTGGAGTGTGGCGACGGCTGGGTAGTGGAAGTAGTGTCGAGAGTGGAAATCTGCCAGTGGGGTATTTATCTGGGTAGGGTGAGTCTCCTGTGCACAATTCGATCCCTGGGTGGTTGATGGAAGCAGACAGGGCAGGGTAGGGTGGGGCTCCTGATTAGAATCCCTTTGTCACCTGTGGTGGTGGGAGCAAGCAAGAAGCTCTGTCCCTGGGTCCGCCGAGCCTGGAGTCCAAGGTCTCAGAGAGTTCCCCTTATCTTGTTCTGTGTGTCTTCAGTTGTTCGTGGGTCTCGGCCAGGGCTGCCGCGCGGATCCGGAATGCGTCCTGGAGTGTGGCGACGGCTGGGTAGTGGAAGTAGTGTCGAGAGTGGAAATCTGCCAGTGGGGTATTTATCTGGGTAGGGTGAGTCTCCTGTGCACAATTCGATCCCTGGGTGGTTGATGGAAGCAGACAGGGCAGGGTAGGGTGGGGCTCCTGATTAGAATCCCTTTGTCACCTGTGGTGGTGGGAGCAAGCAAGAAGCTCTGTCCCTGGGTCCGCCGAGCCTGGAGTCCAAGGTCTCAGAGAGTTCCACTTATCTTGTTCTGTGTGTCTTCAGTTGTTCGTGGGTCTCGGCCAGGGCTGCCGCGCGGATCCGGAATGCGTCCTGGAGTGTGGCGACGGCTGGGTAGTGGAAGTAGTGTCGAGAGTGGAAATCTGCCAGTGGGGTATTTATCTGGGTAGGGTGGGTCTCCTGTGCACAATTCGATCCCTGGGTGGTTGATGGAAGCAGACAGGGCAGGGTAGGGTGGGGCTCCTGATTAGAATCCCTTTGTCACCTGTGGTGGTGGGAGCAAGCAAGAAGCTCTGTCCCTGGGTCCGCCGAGCCTGGAGTCCAAGGTCTCAGAGAGTTCCACTTATCTTGTTCTGTGGGTCTTCAGTTTTGCGTGGGTCTCGGCCGGAGTTGCCGCGCGGGTCCGGAAAGCGTCCTGGAGTGTGGCGACGGCTGGGTATTGGAAGCAGTGTCGAGAGTGGAAATCTGCCAGTGGGGTATTTATCGGGGTTGGGTGAGTCTCCTGTGCACAATTCGATCCCTGGGTGGTTGATGGAAGCAGACAGGGCAGGGTAGGGTGGGGCTCCTGATTAGAATCCCTTTGTCACCTGTGGTGGTGGGAGCAAGCAAGAAACTCTGTCCCTGGGTCCGCCGAGCCTGGAGTCCAAGGTCTCAGAGAGTTCCACTTATCTTGTTTTGTGGGTCTTCAGTTGTACGTGGGTCTCGGCCAGAGCTGCCGCGCGGATCCGGAAAGCGTCCTGGATTGTGGCGACGGCTGGGTAGTGGAAGTAGTGTCGAGAGTGGAAATCTGCCAGTGGGGTATTTATCTGGGTAGGGTGGGTCTCCTGTGCACAATTCGATCCCTGGGTGGTTGATGGAAGCAGACAGGGCAGGGTAGGGTGGGGCTCCTGATTAGAATCCCTTTGACACCTGTGGTGGTGGGAGCAAGCAAGAAGCTCTGTCCCTGGGTCTGCCGAGCCTGGAGTCCAAGGTCTCAGAGAGTTCCACTTATCTTGTTCTGTGGGTCTTCAGTTGTGCGTGGGTCTCGGACGGAGCTGCCGCGCGGGTCCGGAAAGCGTCCTGGAGTGTGGCGACGGCTGGGTCGTGGAAGTAGTGTCGAGAGTGGAAATCTGCCAGTGGGGTATTTATCTGGGTAGGGTGAGTCTCCTGTGCACAATTCGATCCCTGGGTGGTTGATGGAAGCAGACAGGGCAGGGTAGGGTGGGGCTCCTGATTAGAATCCCTTTGTCACCTGTGGTGGTGGGAGCAAGCAAGAAGCTCTGTCCCTGGGTCTGCCGAGCCTGGAGTCCAAGGACTCAGAGAGTTCCACTTATCTTGTTCTGTGGGTCTTCAGTTGTGCGTGGGTCTCGGCCGGAGCTGCCGCGCGGGTCCGGAAAGCGTCCTGGAGTGTGGCGACGGCTGGGTAGTGGAAGTAGTGTCGAGAGTGGAAATCTGCCAGAGGGGTATTTATCTGGGTAGGGTGAGTCTCCTGTGCACAATTCGATCCCTGGGTGGTTGATGGAAGCAGACAGGGCAGGGTAGGGTGGGGCTCCTGATTAGAATCCCTTTGTGACCTGTGGTGGTGGGAGCAAGCAAGAAGCTCTGTCCCTGGGTCCGCCGAGCCTGGAGTCCAAGGTCTCTGAGAGTTCCACTTATCTTGTTCTGTGTGTCTTCAGTTGTAAGTGGGTCTCGGCCAGGGCTGCCGCGCGGATCCGGAATGCGTCCTGGAGTGGGGCGACGGCTGGGTAGTGGAAGTAGTGTCGAGAGTGGAAATCTGCCAGTGGGGTATTTATCTGGGTAGGGTGGGTCTCCTGTGCACAATTCGATCCCTGGGTGGTTGATGGAAGCAGACAGGGCAGGGTAGGGTGGGGCTCCTGATTAGAATCCCTTTGTCACCTGTGGTGGTGGGAGCAAGCAAGAAGCTCTGTCCCTGGGTCCGCCGAGCCTGGAGTCCAAGGTCTCAGAGATTTCCACTTATCTTGTTCTGTGGGTATTCAGTTGTGCGTGGGTCTCGGCCGGAGCTGCCGCGCGCGTCCGGAAAGCGTCCTGGAGTGTGGCGACGGCTGGGTATTGGAAGTAGTGTCGAGAGTGGAAATCTGCCAGTGGGGTATTTATCTGGTTTGGGTGAGTCTCCTTGCACAATTCGATCCCTGGGTGGTTGATGGAAGCAGACAGGGCAGGGTAGGGTGGGGCTCCTGATTAGAATCCCTTTGTCACCTGTGGTGGTGGGAGCAAGTAAGAAGCTCTGTCCCTGGGTCCGCCGAGCCTGGAGTCCAAGGACTCAGAGAGTTCCACTTATCTTGTTCTGTGGGTTTTCAGTTGTGCGTGGGTCTCGGCCGGAGCAGCCGCGCGGGTCCGGAAAGCATCCTGGAGTGTGGCGACGGCTGGGTAGTGGAAGTAGTGTCGAGAGTGGAAATCTGCCAGTGGGGTATTTATCTGGGTAGGGTGAGTCTCCTGTGCACAATTCGATCCCTGGGTGGTTGATGGAAGCAGACAGGGCAGGGTAGGGTGGGGCTCCTGATTAGAATCCCTTTGTCACCTGTGGTGGTGGGAGCAAGCAAGAAGCTCTGTCCCTGGGTCTGCCGAGCCTGGAGTCCAAGGTCTCAGAGAGTTCCACTTATCTTGTTCTGTGGGTCTTCAGTTGTGCGTGGGTCTCGGCCGGAGCTGCCGCGCGGGTCCGGAAAGCGTCCTGGAGTGTGGCGACGGCTGGGTAGTGGAAGTAGTGTCGAGAGTGGAAATCTGCCAGTGGGGTATTTATCTGGGTAGGGTGGGTCTCCTGTGCACAATTCGATCCCTGGGTGGTTGATGGAAGTAGACAGGGCAGGGTAGGGCGGGGCTCCTGATTAGAATCCCTTTGTCACCTGTGGTGGTGGGAGCAAGCAAGAAGCTCTGTCCCTGGGTCCGCCGAGACTGCAGTCCAAGGTCTCCGTATTGGGTCCTTAATGCCCATCTAGCCCTGTCATAGAAGTAATGCTCGGTGTCCCTTCCCCAAATACAAAATTTAAAAAGCTATTCTGTCCTTCCATTATCATGCAGTGACTAGCAGAACATCTGCATATTTATATGGTGTGCACAAAGGATGAACAGTGATTATTATAAGAGTAGAAGTGTACCCTGCCTGGAAACCTCCCCCGAAGAGTTGAAGAGTATGCTCAGACATGCTCTAACAAGGCTGAGGCATTCAATCAATTTGGAGATTCAAACCAAATGCTGGGAGAATGTAAGATTTAATCTTATTGAGGTTTTGATGAATTTCTAGCTAACCTGTTGCCTGGTTCTTTTATGTACAGCACTGGAAAGCTCCTTAACTTAGTCAGCTTGTGAACCACCGTGATATGACTGTCATGATCAGTTATCAAGATCAAGACTTACTAGGCTACATGTTTAATTTACAGGTCAGACCAGAGAAATGGCAACGGAGAGTGGAGATTGTGGGTGGGGAGTGCGACAGTAAGGAAGAGGGACAATTCAGAGTTGAATACATTGAGGGCAAGATTTTCTACAAGATTTCACAATTCCTTTTTGTTCCAGCAGGTGGATGAACAGAGGTATCCCAATGGCTGCTGCAAGATCTCATTGTTCTTTAGGATGAACATCTATTTCCGGAATGATGTAATTGTCAAGGAGTATGTCAGTGGCATTAGTGGTAAGAAGGACTTCATGGTGTTGTAGGTGGAATGTGTTCTATGCCAAGGGAATAAAATGATTTGCCCCTGATCTACATTATTCTTCATGTAGGACTGAGGCCATCTCATTCCACTCCAATTCAGTGGTGCCATGGTTATGAACACAGGGCTTATAGACACAGGCACCACAACTGCAGCCTTAACTTCTTCAGCTGGTTCTACGACCACAGCATTGTAGGATCTACCCGAATAGCAGAGGTGGTATTTCTTTCACCCTTTATTCTTTTTTTCTTTTCCCCCTAACCCACCATGGTTGGGTTCTGAATCCTGACCTGCCTGTGTTGCTTTACCAGATCATCAGTAAGGACCTGTGGCCCAAGCCTCTGCAGTACTACCTAAAGAAGAGGATACCAGTACAAGCAAGTGTGAGAAGGGCAGGTGAGCATCTCTTGGGATGTGTGTTGAAATACGTGAGCTGGAAACTAAGGCACCATCCTATACTATGAAAGTAAGTTTCAGAGCATCTAAGTTGTTCACATCTGGTCTTTTAGTTTGGGAAAATTAGTCAGAAACACTGAAAACTGGAGATCTGGAGTCCTGTAGTGTAAATTGACTAAAGGAGAGTTTATAGTGCAGACTCTGACTCACCAGAGATGGGTGGCATCATGAACATTCATTCAGTCACTCACTGAAAGATGAATTGTAACTCCCCCATCCCCTTTCCTGAGCTACCTTTACCTGGATATCATTTATACCCTCAGACTTTCTGCCACTCCCTTAAATTTCAAATCATGTATTAGTGCTAACCTCCTGAATGAAATGTTTGGCAAGCAATCTAGAGATTGCTTAAATCACCCTTGCTCCAGAGTTTAGGGTGAAGGAAAGAGAGACGTAGAAGGTATAAACTCAAGGATAGAAGGGAAGCAATGAGGAACAGGGACCAAGGGTATCCAAGTACATTGGTGTGGTGTAAAGGAGTGCTGTGGCTAAAAATCCATACCACAGAGATTACAACATTAAAAACTGGAGATCCAAACTTCAGCCACCAAGCTTAAAATTGTGCCTGTTAAGGTGGTAGGCTGGAGTCCTATAGTATAAATTTGACCAAAAATGAGTCTTTAAATGGCAGGCGGAGGGTAGAGGGGAACCCTGGCGGCAGGAAGATGACACTGGTGATGAGTTTGGTGCTGGAACATAGTATACTTAAGCCCTATCAGTGAATAACTCTATAAACCATGGCACTTAATAATATTTTAAAATAATCAAATAAATAAATGAAGCAAGCCACCTTCCAGCTTTTTCAGGAGGGTCCGAATCTCTAGGAAGAGGCTGACCCACTTGACCCCATGTCTTACATTTTGGCCTTCAAAGTAATTCTTTGAAATTTCTCTGGTTTGCTCCTTCATTCCCATAAACATTATTAGAAAACTGGTCATAAAACAAAGATAATAGAGGCCTCTTTCAGGCCTTTTACAGAAGTGGAGAAAATCTGAACGATTACCAATGGGAAAAGGGCCAGGGTGCCTGGACATGGTCCTGGAAAACAAAGTACTAACCATACAGAGAAGTGTGAGTGAATGAATAAGCCTGTATATTCTGTGTGCGTGTGTGTGTGTATGCAGAATCTTTGAAGATATTAGGATATTAATCACCCTTTTTCCTAAAGCAGTGGAAAATGTAAGAGGCTACGTGAGAAGATGAATCATCTACAGTGAGCGTGGATCTCGTGTCTGCAGCATAAGAGGAGAACTGAGATCTCATATAGAAATTTGGATATATCTGCAAACAAATAAACCTAATGCTCCAAGTAGGCCTCTTTTGTTTAGTTCATTGCATCTGGGTTGGCATGAGTTCCATCTAATACATTGTATGTTCCCTTATATTTGGTACTCAGAAATTTTCAGTCCATGGGAATGCTGAGTCTCTCCGGTATACCAGGAACCAGTCATACTGAAGCCAGCATGAGAGAGGCAAACACGGTTTTCCTGGGTACATCACACTGGGATTAGGAAGATGAAATAAGAGGAAGGCCAGTGGGAATTTTGGAGATTCCCTGGGACATAGGGTACATTCAAGAATATGTTCTGATAAGTAGTGTTCTAAAATGTGAATCTTCACAAACGTGATCCACCCATGTTTTTTCCATTGGAGGTGATCATCATGGCATCAACTGTTTTACTTCTGACCATCATGTTCCTTTACGTATTGGTCTATACACACATACACAGACACACACACACACACACATTTCCTCAGATAATCAGCCTTTCAGAAATAGGATATAAACAACTTCCATGAAATACTTTGCCATTTGCAAGGAGAGAGAGCATTATGGAGCATGGGGAAAAACGTAGTAAAGATAAGCCTGAAGCTGGGCAACTAAGACCAAGGGAAAAGAAACTTTTCTGAGGAGCAAACAAAGAAAATCACAATAAATCAAAATGACTCATTGCTTGATTTCCCTCAAGAGGCATTGCTGTTTTGCCAAGTGTGGAATTATTTATTTGTTTTCTTTGGTAGAGTAATAGTTTTCTTTGTTGAGTAATGTTCCCCTCTTGACCATAGAGGCCATGTGGTCTAGGGAGTACATTTTTTATTGTACACACCGATTTTCCCTTAGTACTGATGCTGGTGAGTGTCCTTGGGTGATTTATGTGAAGTGGGGAGTGGAGAGGTGCCAGAGGAGAAGAAAAGTCTGCCATTTTCATTCTATGCACCTCTTGCCACTACAGGATCTAGGATCACTGAGTCTGCTCTGAGCCTCTTTGCAGGAAAGGAAAGTCAGTTCTAGACCTTACCTACACCTTTGGGTACATCATCTTTGCCTCTCATAGAGAATTTCAGGAGGAGAGGAGCAGTAAATTATAACAGGTTTTATTTAGAAGCTCTAAGGGAGAGAGAGAAAGTGAGTGAGAGAGAAAAAGGGAGGGAGGGGGTAGGGCGAGGGAGAGAGAAAGAGAGAGAGAGAAAGAGAGAGAGAAAGAGAGAGAGGTGTTCAAGAGAGAATACAAGTTTCTCCAGAGCCAAGAGAAGCCTGGTACACACCTTGGCAGTAAAGTATGAAAGCACATATCTCAAGAGGAGACATGTGAGTGATAAACATGCTCAGGCACCACTTACCACAACAGTAACACATTATTTCAGGTAGCATATGTGTGTGCTTCCTTTGTTCAACTTGGCTTTTATAGGTTTTTTTTCTCTCAAGCTGCCCTAAATGGGACCTTCCTTCCTAGATCTGTTGCTAGGATGGCTGTTCATGGCCTTCTTTGGTATTCATTCCCTGGCTTTTGTTCCTGCTGGAGCTTCTCTCTGAGGGTGGGTCCGGGATCCTTTGGGCCTGTGTTGATGCCAGATAAAAGTCTTATCAGGCTTTAGTTCCTGTATCAACAGGGTGGGCCCTTAAATCCTTAGGGCTGGTGGAACAAAAAATGCATGATGAGATGAGATTGGGGATGGAAGGTGGCTTTCCCTATATACCTGCTATATTTCAGTAGCTTGCTCCATTACCATGTTGACAGCAATGAAAAAATTGCTGGGATTGAGACATTTGTGCAAGATTCTTTAAGCTAAAGATTTCTAGTGGACATTAAGCTGATACACATTTTCCTCATGAACACTGCAAATGAGAATTTCCCTTTATTTTGGGCATGATTGTTTACCCTATATGGAACCCCACAGACACTGAACATTTTCTAGATGCTGTTTATCAGCCTATGCAATGAGGCGAAACAAAAATTCAGAGCACACTGGAAATATGCTGCAAACCCCCTCCAGGGAGCTGTATCTGAACATTGAGCAAAGAATGGCTCTGTTATAACAGAGATGGGGCTTCCCTGATTAGCTCCATAATGGTCTTTCTGCCCAGAAAAAAGTGAAAGCCACTTATATTTCATCAAGAGTGACCAGCTGTACTTTCATGATATAAAGAGCCCCACATGAAATGGACTTTTGCAAGAAAAGTCTTCTGCCTGCAAGCAATGCTTTCACAGGTGGGATTTGATGGTCGAGTTTCAAGGATAGTTGATTTACCTGTCCTCTTCTTTATGCTCTGACAAGGTTCTCACCATCAAAACCTTCAGCTTAATGTAGGTGGGGAGATAGAGAAAGGCCCTTTGCTATGAAGCAAAGTTTCATGGAAGAAGAATTCTAGGAATGACCCAACTTGTGGATACAGAAAGCAAAGGTCTGATAAGACTATCCGCAGACCCTCAGGATATAGGCCTCCCCATGAAATTCCTCTTTTTGGACCTCCCTGGTAAGCTCCTTAGCAACAGACTTTTACCTGGGAAGAGGCCCCACATGGGGACAGGCTGGAGAAACCCTAGAAAGGCCACCTTGAACAAAGGAAGGGCATGCATATGCTGCCTGAGCCCATTTGTGCTTACGCCCACGTGGCTGAGCACATGTGGTGCCCCAGTACATGTGTTGCCCGCATCTCCCCTCTTGAGATGTGTACTTTCATGCTAATCATGTCTAATGCTGGTATGTGTGTAGAGGCTTTCTCCGCCCTTCGAGAAGCCTGTGTTCTCTCTTGAGTATGTTTCTCTCTCTTTCCTCTCTCTCTCTTTCTCTCTCTCACTCTCTATCTCTCTCTGCCCCTCCGCACATAAAAATCCTCCAAATAAAATCTATTTGTTTCACTGCTTGTCTACACCTGAAACTCCTTTCTGTGTGGCGAGACAAGAACCCAGTAACCCTGGGTCCCGGGTGGCAGAGGCAGGTGGGGAGAAAGTGACTGTCTTTCTCCTCTCCGCTTCACATACATCACCTGTGGGGTCCACCGACATCAGATGGCGACCACGAAGGGACTGGCAGTGAAGAAATTCACGAGGAAGGAGGTAATCTGTGGAAAATCTGCTGTGGAGGTATGCTCCCTCGGAAATCTCTAGGGGGGGAAGGGCGAGGAATGTGATAACATCTGTGTCAATATGTGTGTATGAGCACCCTGATAGGTCCTCCTATCAGGCGTGATTTTGTAGCTCCATGACCTGGCACTCTTAAAGTCACAGAGCTCAAGTGGGCTGCCTGCGATTCCTCAGAGAACATATGGTCAATCGTGGCACTGGCATAGCTGCTGGTCGCAAGTCACAACGCTGAACCACAAAGGCTAAGTTCTCCACCGGCCAGGCAAGCATCTGAATGGTCTCTGCAAAGAGGCACCCCTCCTTTGTCTGTCTCCTTCACCATCCACTATGGGAGGAAAGAGAGGAAAGCCCAATAGTGTGAAGATCCTGGGAAACTAAGGCCGATCAATTTATAGGTAGAAATTCCTTTCCCCAAGCAGTCCAGCAGAATCAGCTAGAGGTCAATTCAGACGCTAATGGAGGCAGTCAGCAGGTTTAGCCCTAGGCAAAGTGAGGCAAAAAAAAAAGGTAAAAAAACAGGCACAAAGTTTGTGGAAGAAAGTAAGTCAGCAGGGAGCATTGGAATATGTGGCAAGCAAGAAAGGCAAAACCTTTCTCTTCTCCCCTTAATAGGCTTCTTGGAAACCCATGGCACTCTAGGTATGGCTCCACAAGCCATGGTCGTGTGGATGCCCGGAAGGCAGGCCCCAGGGATACCTGGTGTGACACAGAACTCTCTAAAGGAGACGTTCTTTCTGGAGAGATTTTTCTGATGGGCCAGCATGCAGTTGTGGTCATGTCCGCGTACTCTCAAGAACCACAACACTATGGGCCGGCATGCAGTTTTGGTCGTGTCCACGCTCTCTCTAGAACCACAACACTATGGGCTGGCATGCAGTTGTGGGCATGTCTGCACACTATCTAGAACCACAACACTTAAGAAGGGGACAAAGCCCCTTGGGATCAACTATTAGGAGGAGAGCTTGCTAAGGAATTATTCTACCTAGATTTTTCTTTTCTCTCCCTTTCATGGGTTATTACTGAAACTTAGGAGATATGGGAAATTCTATATCAGTACCTAAGTATTCTCTTTTGAGTTGCTCGTTAAAACACCGGAAGAGCCCGCAACTAGGTAGTTTAAATAAGAAGTGTCTTGTTGACCACTGTAACACCACGTGGCCTGAGTATAAGCTAGAACTTGGGGAAAGATGGCCAGTGAATGGCAGTTTGCATTACCGGATCATCTTGCAGTCAGATCTTTGCAGGTAAACAAAGAAATAGGATTATCAAAGCAGAGGAGACAGGGAAATGCAATATCATATGATTAACTGTTTGATATCAGAAACAAAGAAGTGTGTCACTAATGCAGCCTATCCCTATGTCTGGTAAGAAGATACCAGCTCCTTGCCTCAGAACTAGCCTTGATCAAAATTTGGTAACATCTGAAAACCTTAGGTTTCCACTGCTTTGTCATAGTTTATTTTGCCCGCTTATATCAACAAGTGCGCTTTCTTGACCCATTTTTTAACAAACAGGAGACTGTCTGGTTAGGCTGGGAAACGGGGAGCAGTGTTCCCAATCGGCCCACAGGGCTTCTTTGCTCTGGGGACTGCCCTTCCTTTCTCAGTCCATCAGTTTTCTCCCTTCCATTTTTGAAGGATCAGATCGATCCATCAACTGCAGACTTGTGGTCGTCTTTAGTCAGTTCATTGTCTGTCTGTCTGTCTGTCTGTCTGCCTGCCTGCTTGCTGCGTGTCTGTCTGCCTGCCTGCCTGCCTGTCTGTCTGTCTGTCTGTCTGTCTGTCTGTCTGTCTGTCTGTCGGTCTGTCTGTGTGGAACACTCCAGTGCTGGAACCAGGTTGAAATCAGAAGTATAAATTCTAGAGTAGTCAGTGATAGGCAACTCAGTGATTTAAGGAATACAGTTGTTTTTGGAACTTGCTAGACAAGGTTTAAACGAAG